GGATTGTTCCTTTACTTTCCTTTTCTGGTATTTCATTGTTAGTGTAAAGCAATGCCACTGATTTCTGTATGTTAATCTTGTATCCTGCTACCTTGCCGAATTCTTTTATCAGCTCCAGTAGTTTTTGTGTGGAGCCTTTGGGGTTTTCTATATATCGTACCATGTCGTCTGCATATAGTGGCAATTTTACCTCTTCTCTTCCAGTTTGGATTCCTTTTATTTCTTTTTCCAGCCTGACTGCTGTGGCTAGGACTTCCAATACTATATTGAATAGAAGTGGTGAGAGTGGGCAGCCTTACCTTCTTCTGGATTTTAGCAGGAAGGCTTTCAGCTTTTAACCATCGAGTATCATGCTGGCTGTAGGTCTGTCATAAATAGCTTTTATTTTTTGAGATATATTCCCTCTATACCCACTTTGGTTAGAGTTTTTATCACAAATGGGTGTTGAATTTTATCAAATACTTTGTCTGCATCTATTGGGATAATCATGTGATTTTTGTCCTTTCTCTTGTTGATGTGATGTATCACAGTGATTGATTTTTGTGTGTTGAACCATCCTTCTGTCCCTGGGATGAATCCAACTTGATCATGGTGTATAATCTTTTTTATGTGTTGTTGGATTCTGTTTGCTAATATTTTGTTGAGGATTTTTGCATCTATGTTCCTCAATGATATTGGCCTGTAGTTTTCTTTTTTGGTAGTGTCTTTGTCTGGCTTTGGTAGCAGGGTGATGGTGGCTTCATAGAATGAGTTTGGAAGTATTCTCTTCAATCTTTTGGAAAGAGTTTGAGAAGGACTGAAATGAGCTCTTCTTTGTATTTTTGATAGAATTCCCCAGTGAAGCCATCTGGTCCTAGACTTTTGTTTGCAGGGAGGGTTTATTTTTTATTGCTGATTCTATTTTACTTTTAGTGATTGGTCTGTTCAAATGATCTATTTCTTCTAGATTAAGTTTTGATGGACTATATGTTTCTAGAAGCTTCTCCATTTCTTCTAAGTTGTCCAATTTATTGCCATATGGTTGTTCATCATTATCTTTAATACCTCTTACTTATTTGCTCAATGTATTTATTTTTTCAATATAACCACAATGGCCATTTTTTCCTTTCTGCTGCTTCTGTATGACCCTTCCCTGCATCCCCAAATGTTTTACCATTCAAAAGCATTCAGGGGAAGTAAGGGTTTTTATGTGTTTTTATAGGATCTTATAGCTCACTTTTATAGAACTTAAATATGACCATGGCTTATTTCTTCTCTGTATCCCCAAAAGACTGTGCTCAGAGAGTGCAGAAACTATCTCTGCGTACTGGCTCAGAAATAAATATTTATTGATGGAATAAAGAAATAGTTTACATTGGACAACTTTACACAGGATGGGAATCATCAGTGATAAAGTCATAAGAATGCAACAGATTTCAAAAAGTGAGAAGAAAAAAGATCAAAGATATAATTTTCTTAAAATAGCAAGAAGAAGTAGGAAAGGAAACAAACTGAATAGGTATGAAATTAGCAAGGGAACCAAGACCAACATTTCAGAATGCATGAGGGGAGTTTCAGGAAGAAAGATGTGGTCAACACCTGAAAAATTATAAAGAAGTGAATTAAGAGGAAGACTGAAAATATATAACTAATCAACATTATTTTCAACTGTGAGTTTGAAGTTCTTGCTTTGTTAAGTCTCTGAGTGGTTTGAGTTTTATACTCTCTGAATTTCTAAGTCTCATTGGTGACACCATGTTTTATCACTAGATATCTTTTTCTTCAAAATTCTACTTTCTCTTGTTTATCTTGGAATATCAGAACAATCAGACGAGGCTTTCTGTTCTATTCATCACTTAAAAATATAGCATCATCCTATAAAAATACTAATCAACATCAAGTTGTCTTTCAAAATGAGTGTCTTTACCTAAACTTACCCCTTTAGTCACCAGTGTTTGTCTTTCGGTAAGTTAAATCTTTAACTTTTAAAACCTTTTTTAATCCATCTCAGGATGACCAGATGATGGTTTTGTGCATGAAAAGATATGACTGCTAGATTACTTACACTTTTAATATCAGGAAAAATAAATGTATACATCTTGTGGGTTGATATAATTCTCGTGTTTGCCCACATGTTATATATATTCCATTCAGACTTGTTTATTAACTAGTCACAATTTTTGGCACACATTCTTTGTTGTGTAAAAGACCTTCATTCTGAGAGAGAAAATAACACTTATGATGAAGATGCTTAATAACAAACA